CCTACCTCCTCTCCCCTTCCTCTTCCTCCCTCCTCTCTCCTCACTCTTCCTCCCTCCTCTCTCCTCCCTCTTCCTCCCTCCTCCCTCTTCTCCCCTCCCTCTTCCTCCCTCCTCCCTCCTCTCCCCTCCCTCTTCCTCCCTCCTCCCCTTCCTCCTGTTTCCTCCCCTTCTTCCTTGCTCCCCATCACCCCCCTTCTTTCTCCTCCCTTCCTCTTGTTCCCTCTCCTCCCCCATACTTCCACCCTTCCCGCGCATCTTTCCCTTTTCTCGAATCCTTCTACTCACCCTTTCCTCCCGCCATCCTTCCCCACCTACCCCTCATCTTCCTTTCCTCTACCCCTTATCCTCCTCTACTCCATTCCTCTCTGCCCTACCCTTTTCTGCTCCCTCCTTCCATGTCCAGTTCTCTCTCTCCCTTCCTTCTATTCTTTCATCTCCCTCCCTCCCCTCCTTCCCTCCCTCCCTCCTCTCACTGTCACAAATACTCTATAGCTTTAGTAGTGTGCACTGCAGCTGAATTACAGGGAGTGTAGAATCTACTCCCAAGAATCTGCTCTCAGCCAGTGTTATTTTGGCAGGTAGAATCTGAAATGTACATTGCTAAATTTTTAGAATTTTTAAATTTTCTATTTTTTGATCTGGGGAAAATTTCTGTACTCATGGGGTAGAGAAGAGATGAGAAAATTAAGCTACTTTCTCTTCCCCAGGTAGAAAACTGGAATGGAGAAAAATGATATTAAGATATTATATAAAACCTTGGTTTTTAAATGTGTCCTTATTTGTTCATATTTATAATCTGTTCCTTCTTTTTAGTATTCCTCATTTGGTAAAACCTGACAAAATAATACTGTAAACATTGTTCCTGAAATGTTTATCACATCAGAATTGTAATTGCTGAAAACATTGGGCACCAAATACCCAATAATAGAAGAATGACCAAGTTAGCCATAAAGTCGTCAGAATATTAAATTGCCATCATGATGTTTGGAGTGCATGGGAACATGCCTTTGCTCAGTATTCAGTGTACAAAACTCAGTTTTATATTATGGTCACATGGGTCACACGCTAATCATGGAATAAGATGCACTGTAACTGCCATCATTTTAGTGTCAGAATGGTACAAACAGAATGGATGTTCACTACTAATTACTAAACTTAATCAAATCTTTTCTGCATAAGTGAGTTGTTTTTGTCCTTTCTCCTTTCCAATTCTTTTTTTCCTCCCCTCTCTCCCTTGAGATAGGATCTCACATAACTCAGGCTGGCCTCAAATTTACGATCCTCCTGCCTCTTCCTCTGGAGTGCTAGGATTGCAGGTATGGGCCACCACACCCAGTTGTAGTTAATATTTTAAGTATCAGCACTTGCTTGTTATAACCACCACAGAGAAGGATATGGTGCAGGCTTTTGATTTTCACAGGCAAATACTTCAAACTTATGCCTTCACTACTTAATCTTTTGAATTTTATTCTTAAAAATGTTTTGTAAGTTGTTTCCTGGCTTTTGATAAGATGCCAAATATATTAATTAATTTGGGAAAATCTGTATATAAAAGTCATTTCCCATGAGAAACTAACACCTTTGAAATTTCAAAATGGTGTACACATAAATGTGAGGCTATAAGATGTGTGGATTTGTATGTACTTTTGTGCGATGTGTAAATGTGTGCATATACTTAATGCCTATATAGGCAGAAAAAATGATTTTTGTAGGAAGAAAGATTGTAAGAAAAGATGCGTATAAAGATAATTCTAGGCAAAGAAAACAAGTAACTTTCAGGAGAACCGGTCCTATCTGAGAGAGGGTGGGTTGTGTGGGTGAGTGGTTAGTAGTGATGTGGATGCCGAGCTGGCATGTTTAGTAGCTAAGATAGGGTGGCCAGAGTGCTCAGTGCCAGCTGGTAGAAGGGCTTCGGGCCTGTCGTCAGAAGTTTAACTTTCTCATGAGGAACAACTAAGTTTCTGATTCTGTGGTATCATTTTGCAAAACTATTAGTAGTAGAGGGGCTGAAAAGAGAGTTGATGGGGTAGCAAACCTAGAGATGGCGGAATCAAAGCTTGAGATTGCCTGAGGGAAATGGAAATTATAGATCTTGCTGATGAGGATCGACTAGAATTAGATGTTAAAATGAGCTAGTAAGAGTTAAGATTTTTTTAAATTGTTGAAGTTAGGTGAGAAAAATTCTTGCTAATTGGGACATTGGTATGAGATGAATTTGGGAGCTAAATCATTTTGAATTTAGATTCATATAAAGTTGTGAAGATTTTGATCATAATAGTATGCTGAAAATTTTCCTTGTGTTGACATTATACTGATATATAACAGTGCACACGAACATACAATATGTATAATAATATACATAATAAGATATTGTATTATACTATAATATTAAATGTATCCCAAGGAGTCTTTGATCTTCAAGTTACAGAGGAGAAAAGTGATAAAGGAGTTCAGCTTTGCCCTGGATGGCTTACTAGCTGGAACCTGAGTGACACTGATAATTGACCACTAGGGTGAGTGTTTACTATTCAGGAGCATGCCTGGTGGATTAATGCATTTGGCAATTTTGTTTCCCAGGCTAAGAGTTTTGTGACAACAAACTGAAACAAGAAACTTTATTCGACTTGAGATGCACCCAGACCTTGAGCACGGTAGAGAAAGGGTCAAAAGGAGGTTTTGGCTTTGTTGCTGGTGTTTCCTATTTGGAGGACAGGCATTCTGGATTTGAGATGTGTCCCACATCAGACTAGTATGACCAGGTGGAGGAAAGAATATTTAAAATCACATGACAAAAGACAGCACAGAGTTGTATGTACAGTTACAAAGAACATAGATGTGACCAGCCAGAAAGACTTTTGCTGTTAATATTGACACACAGACAAAAAAACTATTACATTTTCCTCAATAGTTTTTTAAAAGTAATTTAGGAAATATACTATAGCTCCATTTTATTTCTTATAGTGTTAAATTTATTCTTTTTGTTGTTGAAATATTTTAGAGAAGTGTTCTACAAGAAACTAACATGGCTTCCCGCTACAAAAAAGAATTCTTAGAAGTAGAAAAAATTGGCGTTGGGGAATTTGGTACAGTCTATAAGTGCATTAAGCGGCTGGATGGATGCGTTTATGCAATAAAGCGCTCTTCGAGAACCTTTTCAGGATTATCAAATGAGTGAGTATCGTAAAGTACTAGAAGCACAAACTTGGATTTGGAGATCTGTTGCTTTCAAAATAATTTACAAAATACCACCAACATCCCTAAAAACATACCACTGGCTTGTTTTTAAAGCTAACCCCACCACTGCATGTCACTTCACATTCATAGCTTTCTTGCGTTGTCTGGATTAGCAATGGTGTTTCCTAAAATACGACACAAATACCTCAGATCATGCTGTTTTAATTTCTTGGCTTTTACTGTCTAGTGATCTCATTGCCATTTTAATAATGGACTGATACAATTGTGTTCTGGTACCTACTTGTATTAGTCACTTTTCTGTTGCCTTGATAGAAACACTGACCAAAGCAATTTATAGAAGGAAGAGTTTATTTGAGCTTACGGTTCCAGGGGAATTACAGTCCATCATGACAGGGAGGCGTGGTGGCTGGAAGTGGCTGGAGCAGACGCAGCAGAAGCTAAGCTCTCACATCATCATGCAGGCATAGGAAGCAAGAGGGCAACTGGAGATCCAGCAAGGCTTAAGAACTCTCTAAGCCCACCCCCAGTGACATGCTTCCTTCAGGACAGCCACACCTTCTGAAACCTCAAAATGTCCAAATACTTGAAGCCTATGGGGGAACATTTTCATTCAAACCATCACACTACTTAAGTTCATCAGAAATATTATTGTCAGGTAGAAAGTTACTGATAACTTGGTAGTTTATCTCTATTTTGTACTGTTTTAGTTTTCTTTCTGATGCTCTGATAAACACTACAACCAAAACAACTTGGGGAGGAAAGGATTTATTTCTGCTTATGCGTCCAGGTCACTATCCATCATTAAGGGATGACAAGGCAGGAGCAGAGGTAGGAACTAGGAAGAAAGCTACTGACTGGCTTGCTCTCTGGCTCATACTTGGCTGCTTTATACAGCCTAGGTTCACCTGTCTAGGGATAGTACTGCCCAGAGTGGGCTGGGCTCTCCTACATCAAGTAGCAATCAAGACAATGCTTCACAGACAGGCCCACATGCTAATATGATCTAGGAAATTCCTCAGTTGAAGTTCTGATTTCCCAGGGGACTAGTTTGTATCAAGTTGACAAGAAAAACTAACTAGTATATATATCACTAATACATTCACTAGTCAGGCTTGAGACTATATGCAAGGAAAAACATTAACAACTGTGGTGGTTTGAATGAGAATGTGCCCCATAAGCTCCAAGTATTTGAATTATTATCTCCACTTGGTGGCGTGGTTTGTGGAGGTTTAGGAGATGTGGGCTTGCTGGAGGAAGCATATCAGTGGGGGAGGGCTTTGAGAGTTCTTAAGCCTTGCCCTGTTTCTAGTTTCTCTCTCTGCTTCCTCTGCCTGCTTGAAGATATGTGTGCTCAGCTTTCTGGTCCACCTCTGCCATGCCTCCCTATGATGATGGACTCATATCCCTCAGGAACTATAAGCATGATAAACTCTTCCTTCTATAAGTTGACTTGGTCATGGTATTTTATCACAGCAACAGAAAAGTAACTAATACAACAATGTTTACATTTAACTTCCAGAACTAATTGTTCACATTTTCTCCTTGATCATAAAGAAAAAAATATTTTCAGATTCAGTCAATGCTTCTGAGAACTCTTTGCATCTGTACTGACCATGCTGACCATTTCTGAATCAGAAATTACAGGCTTTAGTTTTTATGCTGATATTCATCAAGGATTATATTTTGCTTTTCTTGCATTGGAATTTCCCATTGCACAATGAATATGTCTCCCAAGGCTGTCTCTATGACTCTATCAGATTGGCTGTTTAATACTGATGCCAATGACTGCCTAGTTTTCCTAGTGAAGACAGAGACCCATCAGTTTCTACAATCAAGTGTATGACTTCTTTTATTTTGTCCATTAAGGTTTTTCCTTTGTGATACAGAGAAATTAAGACCCAAATCTTATCTGCTATTGAGACAGTATGTGTGCCATGTCCAGTGAATAAGCCATGGACACTGGCACCAGGCTGACCAAGTATCTGCTCTTAGGTCTACCATTACCAGCTAGACTGACCTTGGACTCACCCCTTACTTCAAGTTTTCCATTTTATCTTACCAAGTAGCTATGGAGATTGAAACAGATAAAATAGTGAGTGTGAAGCAGGCACTAGATAAGTGTTCTGCCATTGTTAATACTTCATAGCTTTTCCTTTTAAAACAAGCTATATGTTATCATTTTTTTTCTCAATACTGTTCTGTCCCTTAGGAATTTGGATTTGCATGAAGTTTATGCTCATGCAGTACTTGGACATCACCCCCATGTGGTACGTTACTATTCCTCATGGGCAGAAGACAATCACGTGATCATTCAGAATGAATACTGTAATGGTAAGTATGTGGACCAATACAGAAAGGAGGGTGAACTTTTTAAATATTCAGAAATAAACCTGCCACCCCATAGTTTAAGCCACAGATATCAGTCATACCTAAATGTCTGTGCTTAGAATCAGAGTGCTTAAGAACGTAGTTGAGTTGAAGAGGAATTTCCAGGCATAGGTATGTATGTACACACATACGCACACACATGCACACACAATTCATTCAAAGCTAGTGTGTAGTTACTACACAGAAGCTCTTGCTCCCTTCATAGTTTAACTTACACTGAAAGAAGTTTTTTTTTAACCATACTAGTTTAAGCAATACTTTGGCCATTTGCTGGGTATTCTGAAAAGTATAAACCATCTGGGGGATGCTGGGGTAGAGTTCCTAATGATATCTTTGGTATACAGACAACTTTTGAATAATTTTTCATTGGATTCCCGAGGGGTTATTCATGTCCCTTGCTGCTCCAGACTCTTGAATGTCATTGTCCTCACCAGAGTACATGCCTGGGGTCAGTGCTGGAACCAAACTTGGTAACTTCAGGTATATTTTTCTAGGTCCTTCAAGATTGTGCATATATATTAACCAGCACCATGTTTTTTTCTGGGCTATTTAGATTGTAAAGTGTAGTCTTTAGGTTTAACATCCACGATGAAAGAGTAGCAACTCTATGGTGTTAACCTTAGAAATATTTGTTATCAAAATGTTCAGAGGTAGAAGAGTAAAGTAGAAAAGGAAAAGTACCATAAATGGAATATATTTTCCCCTCATTTGAGGAGTAATAATCCATATTCTGATCAGTAATATTTGAAAAATTTCCACATCCATGCGGTTTCTTTAGTGGTGTAATCTGTGGGTCTGGAGAGGTGGCTCAGTGGCTGAGTATGAACTGCTCTTGCAAAGGACCCAGGTTTGATTCCCAGAACCCATATGACCACTCCAGCTCCACTCGATCTGATACACTCCGAAGGTATTGCACACATCTGGTGCACTTACATACATGCAGGCAAAACACTCTTATACACAAAATAAAAATAATCTTTAAACAACCCACCTCTGTTTCAGCCTGGCTTTTGAGGATAGCGACTGTCAACAAAGCTTCTCCTTAGTCAAATAAATGAGTGAACAAGTAGGTAGGTAAATAATATTGATGTGCTAGGAGGTGGAACATATATCTTACCAAACAATGATTTGACATTTCTCACATTTCTCTTGTTTCCTTATAGATAAGATTTCCTTGTAACCTTAACCTATGGCATTGTAGGCTTTTTTCTATTATAAACTCACCACGAATCCCCCCCTTTCTGATAGTCTTTCTGGGGAGGTGGGGTGGTGGATTCTCTCCTTATGCTTATGATTGAGAGGCTGAGATTTCTCTTAATTACTTTCTTTTCCTAATTCCTTGTTATTAAAACTCAAAATTCCCTGCTTTTTGGGCCCTTTTTCTAGGAGGAAAATTAATTTTATTTGCATGGCCTTTTGCTTTTAACACAGAGTATGAAATAACAAAAATTAATCATCAGAGTTAAAATTTTAATATGTTTTAGAGACACTGTAAGAGCTCCAAAATTTTCAAAAACAGTAAGATGGAAAGGTTGTTCGTATTACAGTCACCTTTTATTAATTTTTATGTGGTATGAGTGTTTTGCCTGCATATATGTTAAGTGCACCTGTGCATGCACTGCCCATGGTTAGAAGAGGGTATTAGATTCTCCTGGAACTAGAGTTATGGATAGTTGTTAGTCACCATGTGGGTATTGGGAAACAAACCCAGGTCCTCTGGAAGAGCAGCCAGTGCTCTTAACCACTGAGCCATCCCTCCAGTCCCTTACAGTCATCTTTTATTTCATTTCAGCATTTTAATACTGTCCATGGGCTTAATACCCTTATTAAACTCTAAGTAGAGAACTATCCAAGAGTGAGCTAGAAAGGAAGTCCATCAAAGTACCTTGCTCTGCTCGTTCTGTTAGGACTACACAAGAAGCAAGCTGATGCACAGCCAGCTGGTAAAGCCACGGGTAAACAGTCAGAGAAATGTGACAGGGTACTGGAAGGGGCCGAGGTATTTAAGTTGGGAAGACCTGGGTTGAGAGCCCAGTTCTGCTGCTCATGAGTTGTGTGATTAATTCTGGGATGTCACTCAAAATCACTGTATAAATGGATGGTATGTTTATTACAGAAGAACTCTGAGAATTAGCAACACATATCAAATATTAGTACAGAGTTAATACTTGATGCATGGTGAAAATTCAAGAATGGTGAATAAAAATTCATAAAGGAGATAAGACTTGAATTAGACCTTGTGGAAGAATTACTAGAGCTTAGGAAATTGGAGGGAAGGCACCCAGTCATTGGAACGGCGGCAGGCATTTGGTCTGACCTAGCAGACAGCAGATTCATATGAATGATTCCTGCGGTAGGAAATACCAGCAAGATGAGGAGTGGGGAGACTACGAGGACAGCTTTCAGATGAGGTGTGGTAGTTGCAGGGAATGCTGTCTTTATCATATTGGTCCATTACCTCCACTGAACACTCATCCATTGATACATAATCTTGACTTTAGCAATTTGCAACCCATATAATCCCTACCAAGGCCTCACTCCTCCATTCCCTTCTCTTCCTTCTCATTTCTTTCTTTTCACCCCATGTCTTCCCACTGCTCACCCTCCCAGCCTGTCAAAGCAGTTAGGCTGGAACACATACAGTTATGATTTTAATTTAGATTATAAATTAGGTCATTTAGATACTTGAGATTATCTATTAGATGGCTATTATTAGAGACTAATAATCATATTTTCTCTTGAGCCCTGAACCAATCAGATGTCCTCTCCTCTCTGACCCCTGTGAAGTTGCCTTATAAGTCGCTTCTGGATCAGCCTCAGAAATCTAAAGGGTCTCCAAAAGATTCAACAGCCTCTCCTCTGCCCCCCTCCCCAGGGTTCTACTGGATTAACCTCTCTCTAATGACAGTATTTTCTGTGATGTCACTGAAATTCCACAAAGCCAACTCCTTGTTCTAATTGTTTAAATAATATGACATGTCAGTGTCAGAATCCTGTGTGGAATGCCATGAATAATGATTGTATTTGTCCATTAAATAAACAAAAAACAACTTTGCTAGCAGAAAGATATATTAATATTCTAAATGGCACTATAAAATGAAGATTGTGAGACTATAAACATCTGAATGAAATATCCTGTCGAACTGTAAACCTGCTTTTTACATTTCATTATTAGAAGTTGTTTGCTCTTTGTTTGCAGAGAGGAAAACAAAACCTTTTAAAAGTTTTCTTTCTGCCAAGAGGATAAAGTTGCCCCTATTTGACCTTGAAGGAGGAGCTCAGCAATCCACTTTGCAAAGACAGCTTCAGAAGGGCCCCCAAGAGTTGGTGTTTCCTACTGCCTGGTGTGCAGGGCTTGAGCTCCAGAAGCCACTTCCAGGGACCCTTGGGCCATGGAGTTATGGGTCTGGTTATGAGATTAACAGGGCTGAGGCTCATAGTTCCTCCAGTATTGCCTGTAAACACAGACTTGTTGACACTAAAGAACAGTTGTCTGCTTCTTATGGAAGAGCACAATTAACTTTAGCTGCAGCAAAATAACAACATTCTAACATTTCTGTGTAAATGAGTACTGTTCAGTAACTTCTATTAGTTGCTGCTTCGATAACTTTAATCTTAAAGCGCTTGTAAATATTTAAAAGTGGTGATAACATGGGTCTGGTTACCTTTTTCTAAGTAAATGTTTCTTTTCAGAAGATGTAGCTTTGTTTATTTCCTAAGGATTCCTAAATACCCCCAGAAAGTTTCCATACTTTAAAGAGGTCTTTGGCTTATTTTTTCTTTTCTCTGTTGCCAGAACAAACATTCAACTCATAAAGTATGTATTGGGAAGGTCTTGAGAAGGGGAGTGAGAACTGGATGTGGTGCTTCCATGTTGGAGCTCCAGGAGAGGTCTCTGCTTCCTGCTGACATGTCATAGTCTCACCTGCAAATTTGTCTCAGTGTGACTTCATTTTTACCAAAATCTAAAATGTTTCCACTACTTTCTATAAGTCATCTATAGTCCATGCCACCTAGAGAAATTAAAACTTTGGTAGTCCTTTGTATGTACTGAATGGGAGTGAATTTCTTCTAAACTTAGTTATTTTAGCATGACAGATGGATCTCTAAAATTTACACAGGATACTTTTAAGCACAGACTTGTTTTTTTTTTTTTTTTTTTTTTTTTTTTTTTTTTTTTAGGTCTCCCTGCAGCCCCAGGTGGCCCTGAATTTACTATATAGACTATGCAGGCCTTGATCTCACAGAAGTCCATTTGCCTCTGCTTCCTGAGTGCTCGGATTAAAGGGATATGCCACCATGCTGGGCCTTAACATTTCTATTACCATTTCAGATCCTGTTGTTCTTGATGGGCAGATCTTGTAGACTTTATAATTGGGAGTCAGGTCACAGTAATTTGAAGAACATGTTAATGAACACTAATTAATTAAAGTACCCAGGAACATTCTAACATCTTAGGATGAACATCTGGGACCAGGTAGTTATATGAATCCAGGACTTAGATTTTATTGATGACAAAGATCATCTATAGTGATATACAAATACTGTGGCTGAAATAAGATTCAGGGAAACATAGAGCTTTTAAATTTTCCTAGTCAGCAACCATTACAAGAATCATATTAAAATTACTGGTGGCTATAACTACTAGTCTGACACTGACATGGGCTAACCGTCTGAGTAGGTCTGATTGATCTCTGGTTAATAATTAGGTAAAACTCTTAGAGTTTTAGTTGCCACATACTTGAGGCTGTGGGGCTACATTTTGAAACACTAGAATTTTATTTTCCTCTTTAAGATGCCTGCAATTCTTTCTCACATACTTATGGTATAATGATCTTGTTATCCTTTGTATTGACACTGAATTAACTTAGATTTGTAGACATCATTCATGAACATTTACTGTGCCTTTTCCATCTGTAAATCTCATACCTATTTTCTCCTTCTGTTGGGCTATTCTCTATTTTTCCTTCTACCCCCAGGTGGGAGCTTGCAAGCTGCTGTATCTGAAAATGCTAAATCTGGCAATCATTTCCAAGAGCCCGAACTCAAAGATATCCTTCTACAGATTGCCTTGGGGCTTAAGTATATCCACAACTCTGGCATGGCACACCTGGACATCAAACCCAGTAAGTACAGCTTTTTCCTATTATTCTGCCATATTTTACCTTTTGTCACACCATTATGAAAATCTCCATCAGCATGTCTTCAATACCAAAGATAGTATTTTCTGGAAGAATTTGTTCTCCATAGCAAATTTAGTAAAATATCTTTTAAAAATTATTTATTTTTACGTGTATGAGTATTTTGCCTACATGTAGGTAAGTGTACCTGTGCACACAATGCCCATGAACATCAGAAGAGGGTGCCAGATCCCCTGGAACTGCAGTTACAGATGGTTGTTAGCTGCCATGTGGGTGTTGGGAACCAAATCGAGGTCCTCTGCAAGAGCAGCCAGTGCTCACTGAGCCAGCCTTCAGTCAAGCTTTCTTTAACCAGTTCCCCTTAGGCCCAGGGGACACAAAGGAAAAAGATGCTTTCTCATATAGAGGGCAAAATATCAAACTATATATTAATTTACCACACAGGTGATAGTATGTTGTCTACATTCTGATTGTGTTTGCAACTAGTAATGTGTTTTTCTAAGTCAGCCCTAATCAGGGTGAACAGAAATGAATGGCTTTACCAATTTTTAATGTGAAACCTAAGGATAAGTCATTTTGAGGTTTTTGTTTATTTTGAGACAGCAGTATCCTGTGCCCATGATCTCCAAAGGATGATGGGGAATGCATGAGGTCTGTTTAATTTAAACAGATGTTGCCCATCACTGACAATGTGATGTGAGAGATTACACAAAAAGTATTAAAGCCTGGTAGTCTCTCTACAGCCACACAGAAGTGGGGAAGCTGGAATGTCTTCATCACAAAGGATGCCTGGGGAGTAGGCCTGGCCCAGGAATCATTACTTCATCTATCCTGATTTTGTCTTTAAGGTAACATATTTATTTGCTATAAGATGCAAAGTGACTCTCCTGGAGGCCCAGAAGAGGTTGAAAATGAAGCTGATTGGTTTCTCTCTGCCAGTGTGATGTATAAAATTGGTGAGTCTGTTTTCTACCCCTTCAGTGTATTAGCCTATAAAACTGATTTATTTATAAGTAACTATATTTATTCCATTTCCAAGAAAGATGTACTCTTGAAGAACCACCCTTCTTTCTTTTTTAAAGGTGACCTGGGCCATGTGACATCAATTAGTCATCCCAATGTCGAAGAAGGGGACAGTCGTTTCCTGGCTAATGAGATTTTGCAAGAGGTATAGATTATGGAAGTGAGGAGTATTTTTTCCCAGTTTTTAGTGTGTTGTGTGCACATGTGCATGCATGTGCGTTCATGCATGGGCGCATCTGTGTGTAATATTTTAATTTCACATGCATGAGTGTTTTGCTTGCATGTATGTAAGTGTACAATGTGTATACAATGCCCACAGAGACTAGGAGAGTGTTGGATTCCCTGGAACTGGAGTTATAGATGTTACCTGCCAGGTGGTCGCTGGAACCAAACCCTGGTCCTCTGCAAGAGCAGCCAGTGCTCTTAACTTCTGACCCTTCTCTCCACTCCCAGTTTTGTATATATTTTTTGAGACAAGATCTTGCTATGTTGCCTAGCTTGGCCTCAAACTGGTGATTTTCCTGCCCTAGCTTCCCAAGTAGCTGGGACTACAGGTGTGCTGGGTATCTTATAACCCACTGAACCTTGGACTCTCAAATGAAGGCTCATAGTGCCCCCAAATGGAGAACAGATATTTTATACTTCTAACAAATATTGTCTTTTTTTTCCCACTGAGAGATCAAATACCATAAAGAAATTTCCAAAAAGCATGGAAAAGCTGTCTCTATCAAGGATGAATCAGTACCATATAGTCCTTTCTAAAGGTTCCTCACGCTTAAAACTTCCTAGGCTCATGGACGGCATAGTAGGAAGGTTGGATTTGTCCAACCTGTTTTTATCATATTATCCCCCTTAGTTACTTCCTAACTTCTAGGTGGTCTGTTGAGTTCTGACCTAGGCTTAAAGTGTGTTTATGTTCCCTTTAGTGTCTTAGAAATAAACCATCAACTATAGTACGTGTAATTTTTCCCATAATTTTGACAGCTTATGTGGCCTTGTACCTCTCTCTCCTAGTAATGGCACTGTAGTCTAGACTTAACTCTTCTTGGCAGATTAATGGGCCTTCCTGTGCCCTGTTTTGTAGAATTATCAACACCTTTCCAAAGCAGACATATTTGCCTTGGGGTTAACTATTGCTGTGGCTGCAGGAGCAGAGTCACTGCCCATCAATGGTGATCTGTGGCATCATATCCGCAAGGGTAACTTTCCGGACATTCCTCAGGCACTCTCAGAAGACTTTTACAGTTTACTCAAGGTGATATCTCTTTTAAAAAAATATTTTATTATTTTTATTTTATGTGTATGAGTGTATTGCCTGCATGTGTGTAAGTGCAATGCCCGTGGAGGTCAGAAGGTACCAGATCCCCTGAACTGGAGTTACAGATGGTTGTTAGCTGCCATGTAGGTGCTGGGAATTGAACCTGGGTCCTCTGCAAGAACAGTCAGTGCTCTTAACCACTGAACCATCTCTCCAGCCCAAGGTGACATCTCTTATGAGATGAAGATGAAATATTTAATTCCTTTAATGTGATAACAAGTGGAGGGGAGGGCAGGCTTTAGGTAACTGAAAATTTGGCAGGGCCATGAACAGAAGGAGAAAGGGTGTAGGAAGCCCAGGTAAGACACAGGATGGATCAAAAGCTTCTTAAGTAAACTCAACCTTTCCTGTCAAAGTACTAAAATATCCTGCTGTGAACACTTTTTATTTGCTCTTCCTAGTAACCCCGTAAAATGGCAGGTGGCACCTTATTCTTCAGAGGGGAGAAATTCAAAGCTTACAGGGGCTATCTGATTCTTGTAGTGACTTAATAATTGGTTAATCGAATCTCAAACTTGGTCTTTCCCCTTTTGCTTCAGGGTTTCCACTATTCCCAATGGTAACAGTGATGAGATTTCTAAAGCAATCATTTCACGTATATCTTTAAAAGTAAAAGCAGCTTTACTGGTAATCAACAATAGCACCAATTACTTGAACTGCTGGAAAAAAAGGCAGAATGCCAATTCAAAATTCTGTGTCCTCCTCCTCTAGCCTCCTGCCTTCTTCCTTTCATAAGATAACATCTCACCGTGTAGCCCTGGCTGGCCTGGAACTCACTATGTAGATCAGGCTAACCTCAGACTCACAGAAATCCACCCACCTCTGCCTCCCGAGGCCTGGGATTAAAGGTAACAGCAGACTCACCACATTCATCCCTGTGTTATTTGTAGCCAATGAGGGCTAATGAAAGGAAGATTGGCTGAAACAAAGGCAGCTACAAACAAAACCAACAAAAATCCAACAACTTGACAGGACCATGAAGCACAATTAAATCACACCAAGAAAAGCTCAAACCAAAAACCAAAAAATCATGGGTTAGAAAACAAGGTTGGCTAGAATCACTGAAATTGCGTCAGAAATACCTACTTCTGGGGCTACACAGACGGCTCGGCAGTTAAACAGCACTGTCTGTTTTTCCAGAGGACCTGGGTTTGGTTTTCAGCACCCACATGGCAGCTAACAACTATCTGTAACTCCAGTTCCAGGGGATCCAACACCCTCTTCTGGCTTCCACAGGCACTGTACGACATGGGTGCACTTACATTCAGGCAAAACATTCATACACATAAAATTAAAAATAAATTAAAACAATTTTAAATGCTTAAAAAAGAAATTAGTAAATGAATGAATGAAGAAAAAAACCTACCTGGACATTACACTTGAGTTTCATGGTTTACCTAACAAACTTCAAATGCAGTTACACATTTTTCCTTCTTCTACACTTTGCTTTCCTGAAGAGGCAACCCTTTCCTCACTTTGCTCTTTGTTCATAGCCTAATCATCAATCATACATATGTAAAGAGCTCTTAGATTTAGTTCATTCTTAGTCCCTAAAGGCTGGCTCTGTGCTGTGTAACACTGTGTTTATGTTAGTTGACATAACCCTTGCAGCAGTCCAAGGAGAACATCATTATCCCAAATTTCAGGTAAGATAAAGTAAGCTGCATGGAAGTTCACAAAGTAAATAGTGGTGCTGGCTCTGAACTCGGCCCCCGATAGAGTGCTATGGAAAGTTGTACGTATTTGTCATTACATGACATCATTAATTACACATATAGAGACACAGATAATATTCATTATATGGCAATTCTACCATATTTCAATCACCATAGGTTACAGATCTCTTCTGTCCTGAGGTAAATCTTTTAGGTGTGTTTCATAGTGGGTCCTTGGGTAGAAAGGGAGCACAACAAAGGGAAAGCGGGCTGAGCTGACTTGGGGGAACTGGGTTTTGGTTTTGACCCTTCCAGTAACTGAACAGTTTAAAAAAAATTTACTTATTTTTAATTTTATGTGTATGCTGTATTGCCTGCATGTAGGTAAGTGCACCTGTGTCGTGCAATGCCCGAGGAGGTCAGAAAAGGCTGTTGGATCCCCTTGAACTGGAGTTACGGACAGTTGTTAGCTGCCATGTGGGTGCTGGGATTCCAACCCGATCTTCTGCAAGAACAACCAGTGTTCTTAACCACTGAGCCATCTCTCCAGCCCCATAACTTAACACTTTTTTATGTAGTGCCATATGTTCCCTCTTTAAAATTAAACTGTTAAGACTAGTTAATCAGCAAACCAACTAGCTTTCAAATATGATAATTAAAGCCAAGTCAAAGATACAGACAACTGATTGATGTTAGTGATAGGGACAATCCTTCCAGGTAGAGCAGTTCTCACCAAGGAGGAGAAGCTATTTACAAAATCCACCAGCAGAGGTTGAACGGTACCAGAGTTCACTTGAGTGGGGAGAGATTCCCAATAGTGAAAACTCTGTGTTCTATCCACCAGCAGAGGTTGAACGGTACCAGAGTTCACTTGAGTGGGGAGAGATTCCCAATAGTGAAAACTCTGTGTTCTTCCCTTGGTCCTATGTCTATCACCAGAACATGATCCATCCTGATCCAGAGGAGAGACCTTCCGCAGTAGCTCTGGCGAGAAGTAGAGTTCTCCGGCCCTTCCTGGAGAAAACAGAGGAACTCCAGCAGCAACTGAACTTGGAAAAGTCCAAGATAGCCACATTGGAAAGGTAGATTTTAGTTGTTAGAATCAACAAAGGATCTACTTGAACCACTCACAATGGTAGGACTGGTCTGGTCTGCTATATATCTATGGATTCAAGTTTACACATATTCTATATTGTGATACATACCCTCTGCCTACAAGGAGTTAGGCAAAATGGTTTTTTTTGTTGTTGTTGTTGTTTTGTAGCACAGGACTAGGCAGCTCTGTGACTAGGCAGCTTGAGAGAAAATTCCATTTAATACAGAAGCAGCAAGGAGGTGGTCGAGGGAGTCGAGGGAGTCTAAGCAGTGAAGGAATCTTGGATTCTGAGGGACAGCAGGTATTAAAGTATCGGGTGGTGAGAACCCAAGATAACCTTAGGTAAGGTAAGTGGAGACCTGTTTTAGAAACCTTAGATGAGTAGAGACCTACTTTAGAAAGCCACTAAGTTGTAGGACGGGAGGCAGACATCCTGTCTTGGTCGGTGTTTAGAGGAAGACATGTTTTTCTGAGCAAAGAAGGCAATTTATCTTTCATTGATGTTGGCCTGTATTCACATACGTGTTCAGTTATTAATCTATTTATGAAACAAATAAGAATTATGTTGGGTAAGGTTGGAAGAGGTCAGGCAACGATGTTGAAGTAGTATTCTGAAGGGATTCTTTGGCAATTATTGCATATAGTGTATACTGTTGAAAATAAAAAGGGAATTAAGTATGGTACTTTCTTGAGATAGGCTTAGAAGTTCAACTTCTCTTAGCTACAGAATCCATCTAGGAAAGACTACCTTGCAAACCTGAAAAGTCACCAACCTGATCTTTTGGTTATACATATTCAAGACTTCCAGATTTTAATCAGGGAGATAATTCCCAACAAACCATTTCACGCTTTTCTTTTTACTCTTCTTGAGTTTTATTGTTTTAGATAATAAACCACGAAGTATTATAAGAACTAAATGCCTGTGAAGGTGAGGCATACATGTTACATGAAGCCAATCTCGAGGTACAAGTGTCTGTCATCATTCAATACATGTGATGGGCATTTACCCCAGTGATGGGGCAGATGACATCTTGAAACTGTCCAAACTAGGGGGTGGTAATCTTGTTCTACATATTTTATGTTTTGTAGGTGGTATGATTTCTGCTATACTGACTCAACTCTGCCACTGTTGTGTAAAAACAACCATTGAATATATGTTGTATAATATATATAGCATATATAAATGAGTTACTGTGTTCCAATAAGACTTTATTTATAGTAATCAATGGTAAGCCAGATATTATCCAGGAGCTGTGATTTGCTGATCCCGTAGTTCTCATATTTAGCCTGAAACTGTTCACTTAACATTTTAATTTTATAGGTAATTTATGACCCATTTATGTGTCATGACATACATGTGTCAACCTTTTTAAAAAATACTTATTTACTTTATGTGTATGTGTATTGCATGTATGTAATTGCACCTGTGTCATGTAGTACCCTCAGAGATCAGAAGAGGTTGTCAGATGCCCTGGAACTGGAGTTATGGATGATTGTTAGCCACCATGTGAGTTTCAGGAACTGAATCTGGGTCCTCTGCAAGAGCTGCCTGTGCTCTAAACCACTGAGCCATCACCAGCCCCCAGTGTCACCTTTTTAATGATAGTCATAATCATAAGAACTGAATTTTCTATTCTGCATATTCAGGCTTGATTTTGTAAAACTAAAGTAAAAAGACTATTCTCTATATTAGCTGTGATCATAAATACTATCTATAACCAGGAGAGAAGTAACCTATGCCTTCCTCTTTCATTTCAGAGAACTGAGAGAAGTCCAACAGGCCCAGTACCCCCAGGGAGACACCCAGAGTGGTGATCCTGGGACCTCTGGGGCCCACACAGGATCAAGAAGCACAAAATACCTGGTAGGAGGAATGAATAGGAAGTCTTCAAGCTTCACCTGTGGGGAATCTTCCCCATAAGTATCATTTCACACAGCGAGCCTTTTGTCAAACCACTTCAGAAACCTTCTATGTAATGGAAAAAATAACCAACTTTAATATCCAAAGGTTTCAAAAGCCATCTTAATTCGCATCTATACCCAAGGTCATGAAGCATCCAAGGCTTCTTATTAGCAGTGGTCTCATATATAATAGTTACTAGGCACTTCTCTTCTCTGTTGTATTTCTAGTGCCATCTAATGAGAACTGATGAAGAATGAGAAAACATGCCTTTGAGTTGAAAGAAGACACCCTTTGTCTTGGATTAAGAAGCTGCCATTACTAATTCTTCATGAGAGATCCAGGAACTTTCCCTGTACATAGAAAGGAATAAAATATAGCTTTCAGTACCAGGTTACAGTACAAAGTGCCTGTATTCCAACAGTGCTTCCCAAGTTACATGCTACTCCTAGAATTCCCAGCTCCTTGGAGCAAGTAATTTTCCTAATACATTTTTCCAGATGCACACAATCTCTTATCTGCTGTATTATTAAAAAAAAAACGTTATCATTATGTGAAATGGTTAGAGATAAGAATACAATGTGGACATTCCTGAGCTGCTTATTAACTTGTGAAACAAAATCAATGGAGGCAGAGGGGCCAAAGGAAATCTGATGTAGCTATTCTCCATGGGTCCTAACCCTTTTATGGATGATTTTGATTGCTTCTGAGTGTTTGGACATCACCAGGGTCTCCTGATTTTAGCAGAATCTGTCTTTGTTTCCTATGATTTTAGCCAAATCCTTTTCTGTGTTGATTTTAAAGGGATAGAATATTTGTAAATAAAGATTTTTATCTTGTCCAAAGCCAAACATGGGTAAAGCACTCTTCTTCATAATATAGAAAAAGAATGTAAAATTTATGTTGGAGTTTTTATGAGAGAACCCAGTAGGTCAGTAACATGTCTTGGTGTCCATACCCAATTTCACAAGTCCAATTGCACGGGTCCAAAATCTGTAGTGGTTATAAAATGTTGGCTATAAATGTATTTGCAGTTGACTTCTTTTTGTCATTTTACTGGGCAACCTGATGATAGCTTTTCTGCTAATTTTCTTCCCTTTCCCTTCATTTTTAGAAGCTACATTTTTTTGTTAAATAAACCCTCATACCATTCTTTGTTCTGCCCAGAATAGCAATTTTCCCCATGTTTTATATATACAGTTTTCTACATAAAATGTTATATATGTGTGTATGTATATACATATATGTATGTATATATATTTCTTCCTAGAGCCTATTGTAATTTTTATTGACTGGTCTTTAAGGTTTTAAACTGGGATTAGTTTATCTCTTGCTCTTGCCCATGTCTCTTGTAGTGCAGTTCAAGGCCAGCCATGATTTGTGACTTAGAAATGAGAACATGAAGTGTATGTATGTAACTTAGGACCAGATGTTTTGGTTAGTGTCCTCTCAATTGACAACCACCACTGGAATGCTCTACAATCCCTTCTCTACTGTTTCTCACAGCCTAACTTCATGACCAGGCAGGGGCCAGATTATTGGTTTCTTCCTCCTCCACTGGTCCCCATGGTAGCAGGAAGTCATCAACATAGCCTGTAGTGCACAGATGCAGATGCTATCAAATGTGAGAGGACTGGGCTGTCATTGTGCTTGGTACATCATTCCTTCCATTTCAATGAGAAGTTTCCTTTTGCCTGAGGACATTTTGTTTTTGTACAGAGATTATGTTACAACTAAAATATTTCACTAACATTGAGCTGGGACATTAGTTATACTTAAATACTCTTGCTTTACATATAGATGTATCTGAAACACAAACTCTTATACTATGTAAAGGTGCCAAGAGATAGTAAGGAGACTTAGAGAACTGAGCTCTAAAGCATGTACCCTTTAAAGGGGGCAGTCATCTAAAATGGAAAAGATGAATAAGTATGCCTTTTTAATCTCCAGAAAACTATAATCTTAACCCAGAATTACATAAAAATGGTCAGGTTTACATTTTAAAATTAAATAGCCCTACTAATCAAAAGTGTTACTGTTTTGAATCATCTTAAAAATATATGTTAGTATAATCAGTTTAGGTGAAAGGGCTATAATGTTTCCCAAAGTTATCAGGGGGCTTTAGAAAAAATTATTTAAAAGCAAAATGAGAACTTGATTAAAATGTCCAAAGTTCGGGGCCGGAGAGACGCCTGAGTCATTAGGAGCACTTACTGTTCTTTCAGAGGACCAGGTTTAGTTCCCAGCACCCATATGGAGGCTCACAACCGTCTGTAACTCCAGTTTCAGGGGGCCCAACACCCCCTTCTGGCCTCTGTAAGCACTGCACACACATGATGCACTTACAAACATGTAGGCAATAACTCATAAAGCTAAAAATTCCCAAGTTTTAAAAATAATAGAACTTTTCAAAGCTTTCTGTTTATTGTAAAGTATTGCCATCCATAGCTGTAACTTCTAATATAGGAAGAAATAAAGAAAAGGCCAAAGATAACATTGCATTTCTGGGCATATATGATATTTATTCTCTTTTTCAGAGAGCTTTGCAAATTTTAGAAACCCTTAGTCTTAGGAGTTAAAGTTGAACAAAATGGCAATCACATGCTATTGAGAAGGCCTTCTCTTCATGAACTGAACTACAGAACCTCCTTCCCTCCCTCCCTGTCCCATGCACATAGAAAAGTTTGAGTTTCCCTGTCAAATTGTAAATTTTTGTAGTATCTCTAACACAAAACCTATTTCAGCCATTTTTTTTCAGTTTAGTTAAATTCTTTTGGTTTTTCAAATTTAGGTATATTTAAGTCCAGCTGAATCCTTATTTTCATTCCTGTTTCTGTGCTCTAGCTTGGGACTTCGGTCCATTTCGAGCTGTGCTTGTTTTAAAGCCTGCAAAATGGATGTTCACAATAGTCTCCCTGTGTTCTAGGGGCTCATCAATGGGAGAGATGAGGCATGTTAACAGTCACTTACACGACAAGATGTCATGTAGTGTGACAAAAACAATGGGAGAGGAAAGAGGAATGACTGCTGAATAGTGTTCTGAGTGTGTGTAGGACATTTCAAATGCTGAGGACAGTCATGGAAAACCAAGACTGAAGTGCCTATTGTATTAAGAAGGGCCCTTTTTTTTTTTAATTTTGGTAAGGGCTGCATTTAATGAGATATTTTTTTTTAATTTTTTTAATTTTTTTTTACAATTAAAGTTACAGTTTTAACAATATACAAAATATTACAGTAATTCAGATTTTTTGGCATAATGATTACAGATTTGATAAATACATTTTGTATCTCATAATAGCGATGAGGATTATACAAAAGCTATTAAAACAATTATGAGAATAAATTCTATTGTCACTTAAGTATCTAAAGCTATTTTCCTTTGC